GAATTATCACCTTAAAAGTTGTTTCTCCTATGGAAAAAAGAAAAAAATGATATCATTTTAATACAATTAATTACTTTACAAACATATATTTAACGCATTTGATTTAATTATAAGATTTTTATTGAAACTTGTTAAAATTTTATTTTATCAAAAAAACATGTTAAGCAAAGTTTGAAAGATATTTTGTTTTATTTGTAAGGAATATTTGATTTGATTTGATTTGCCGTGTAATTAAGTATAAATATTGTTTAAAATATAACCACAAAGAGTGGTGCTTGATTGTTTTAAGCTTGGCTCAAAAGGTCAAAAAGTGTTTGGAGGTCCCAGGTACAAATCAAAGAAGAAATAAAAATTCTCTTGTGGCCATTATTGTTCAAATGCGGTGACTTCGGGCTACCTGCAAAGCAGGTGGTTGTCATGGGATTAGTCGGTTCTCTTAGTGTGTTGGATATCTAGGTTAATAAAAAAAATCCGGTAAATAAACTTCAACAATGTTGTAGATAATTAACGATAGCTAATAAATACAAAAAGTTGAATTAAATTTATATCTTTAACATTAAAAAGAGAGAAAGACCGGACTAATCTTTACTAACACAATAATTCCCAAAGAAAATAATGTTTAATTTTACAAAAGGTAATAAACTTGTTAAATATTTTAACTGTTTTTAAAAATAACATGTTTTAAGTAAGATTATCTATATATATAATATTAATTACAATGATTTTGATTTATTAAATGTAAATTTTGTGGTAATGGCGACGTTGGTTGGAGCTGAAAAAAAATCATGGGCATGCAAGATAAGATAAGAGACTTTATTGTCTCATAGATAGATAATGGCACTTCTATGTATGTCTGGTTTGATAACTGACACCCTGTTGGCCCCCTTTGCTGGTAAATCACCCACGTAATATCCTTAATGCTAATCTTTCCCTCGATGCTCGCGTCAAGGATATTATCTGTAATGGTTGTTGGATATGCCCCCACCTACGGGACAATTCCAACCCCACTCTTTGTGATCCTCCTCCCCCTGACCTTTCCCCTTCTGTCCTTGATAAGCTCATCTGGAGAAAAAAGGATGATCGTCTTAGTCCTTTTTGGGTTCATGGAGTCTGGCTCTCTATCCGTCTTAATGAGCCAGATGTCGATTGACACCATATGATCTGGTTTTCGTAAAATTTCCCTAGACATGCTTTTCATTCTTTGGGTTTTCCTTAAGTAGGGATGGTGATTTGGCCCGACCCGGTGGGGAACCCGGTTCACCCGACCCGGACGGGGACGGGGATTCCCCGCTAAAATGGGTACCGGGGCCGGGGATCCCCGGTAGAGGCAAACCGGGGCCGGGGCCGGGTATTGTATCCCCCGACCCGCCTCGCACCCGATATATATATAAATATTAACATTTTGATTATTTGGGCTTATAATTGATATGTGCGGCCTGTTGGACTTATAGACTTGAGCTTTGTAATTGATATGTCCAAATTTCAATCATCTTCTACTCTTCTTGACTAGATATGATGTAATTATATTAACACTTGTTTTAAATTTTACATTTCTTTGGATTATTGTTAATTTTACAATTTTATTATTTTTATTAGGCAAGACTAGATATGATGTAATTATGTTGTTATGTTGATCATGCTTAGAAAAAACTTATTAATTTTTATTTGACCGGGTGTTGACCGGGGGTTGACCGGGGTTGACCGAAAGTTGACCGGGGCCGGGGACTGTGTGTATAAACCGGGGCCGGGGCCGGGGATTGCAAACCCCGCCCCATCCCCGCCCCGTTGCCATCCCTACCCTTAAGCAATGTCTTAAGAAGAATGATAAACTTCAATTTTGGGAAGCGTATCCAAACATGCCCTGTGCTTTTTGTCATAACGGGCCTACTTCTCATCAACATCCTTTCTTTGAGTGCCCGTTCCCCAATCAGATTTGGAATGGTCTTAAGCCCAGGTTGAACCTTCCTGCTGACCCAAATAACTGGGCTGATATCATCAGTGTTTTTCAGCAAGCCACCAAATGCAAGACCATTTGATCTATCATTCGCAGATTAGTGCTTGTTGGTACCATCTATCATCTTTGGCAGGAAAAAAAATGACCATATCTTTAAGAATAAGAGAAGATCTTATGATATGGTGGTCAAGATCATTACTGATAATGTCCGGTCTAGGCTTCTTAGCCTAACTTTTAAGCCATCCCCGAATGTCATCTGGGTTCGGCTTGCGTGGAATCTCCCCTAGTGGCTGGTTCCTCTCCTCTTTCTCTCTCTCTCTCCCCCTCTTTTTCTTCCTTTCTTTCCCTTTGGGAGCTTTGGTTTCTTTTCTGGTAGATTTGGTTCTCCCACCCCCGAATGCTTTATCTGTTTTAGCATTCTACCGTTTTTGGTTCCTTCTCTTGATAGGGGGGCCTCCCCCTCTATATCAAGATCTTATTTTACATTTATTTTGAATTGTTTGATTTTTTAGCTTTAAATGTATTTTATCAAAGAAGCATTTTCTGATGAAAGATCAAGAGCATTTCTAACAGTTATTTATATTTGAAGATAATACTAATTATATTATTAAAATGATTATTAAAATATTCAATACATTTAATTTTTTAAAGGCAACACAATAATATTAAAGGAATAAAAAAACGAACAAAAGTTCAACAAAAACATCTGCAAGTTATGGAACTAACCGAAAAACAACCCAGAAGGAAAATACCGACCAAAACCAAACAAAAAGAAACAAAGCACCCTTCGGAACCAGGTACACCTAAAATAAAAAACAAGTAGTGTTTGTGAACACCCCGGTGTTTATAATCCGATTTAAGAATTACATGTGTGGAGAAAGGAAGTTGGATTTGTGATCTATATTCCCACAGAATAGATCATTTTTGGATTCTTCTTGAGATCTGCTGGAAGATGCGAGCTTGAATTCCTGCAAATAGTGCTTTAGCGGATAATTTTTTTCCTATAAGTAACGTTATTGCAATGATCTCATAACATTTGTGGAGAAGGTTGTCGTAGTGGAAGTGGAGGTGGCCGACGGTGGCTACCAGTGGCGGTGGCGGGCACGACTAGCAATGATAACCACTAAAACAAATATCATATTGATGTTATATATCAAACGAGTATTAATTAGTAATATTTTAGTTTTGGGAAAAGTCTAAAAAAATCTCAATAGACTTTAATGTTTGGAATAATTAAGTCATTGGATCTTCTAAAACTTGTTAAATAACTCTTTGGACTTTCTAAACCCTGTTAGATACATCTTTGTGACCTATACAAATGGTTAATGTGGTAAAATAATTGACAAAAAATATGAAAAAAACCCTATGGACTTTCATATTTTGAATGATTAAGTCTCTAAACATTTTTTGACCTAAAAAATACTTCAATCTATAAAATGAAACAAATAAAACAAAACATTTACAAACAAATACTTACACTTAAAAAATATTATTAATGAAATTTATTTTAATTAAAAATAAAAAATATTATGTCAGTGATTTTTCAAATTAAAAA